AATCCTAGCAACTTCATCTGCCCAAAAAATTGCGATCAACTCATGTTCATTACACTTGTATTCGAAGAAATAACCTGGTACAATGTCACGTCTATTTGATAATTTATTGATCAACATCTTTGCGTCCTTGTTCCCAACACAAGCAATAGCATCCCTCTTAAAATTCTTGAAATCAATTTCTGAAACTCGAGTATGCTCAAACCCCCCGTTCAATACCGTTTGAATACGATGTGCCCTTCTCGCACCGACTTTGTAACTCGAGCTGTTGAGTACAGTCTTGAAATCCGTATACTTCATCTGTCCATTTTTCCTAGAGAAACGACGATCGTTAACGTTGAACAACGCATGGTTATGTTCCTCAACAAACTCGTATATCTCGTAACAACCCTCATCATTCGTCAAGTGGATTTTTAGACATGCATTACAACCACAACGTTTTAGGTTCGTATTGCGATATCTCCTCTCACCGTGCTGAATATCCAAATAATTAAATTGCCTTTTGTATGGGTTACCCTCTCTACTTCAGACAAACCATCTATTTTGAATGTTTTCGTGTTTGTTTGTTTTTTTTGCATGTACACGAACATCAAATCCGGCCTTGTCCGCGTAATCTCTGTACATCTTTTCAGCATCGTTTAAAGTTGCATATTGTGCATTTGTCTTTGGCTTAAGAGCGACATCCACAATTGGGATAAAATACTTGCTTCCTTCTGAGGTCTCGCCAATATCATATTCAAAATCGATATGTGGAGGGGTGAGATCATCAAAACCTGCTTGTAAAGATGTAGTTAGTCTTGAAAAAAAAAGTTATTATTACACAAACTAGAGAATTAAGAAAATAGAACAGTGATGCAAGGTTCCATCTCAATTTTGGTGGGCAAGTAAGTTTGCATCCCCATGACACAATCACAGTAGGTAGTGAATATCAATGTATAGTGTGAACATAATGTTGAATAATCGTAAATATTATATATCATGGATTTCCATCGTATATAAAATATGAATGCTTTTTTTTGTAGCTATTAAAGATATTTACAGTTAAAGTGTCCTGTCTCTTACATATATTAGCTATTACATGAAACAGTTGTATTGTGACAGCCTGCATACATCTTACACATCAACATCTGTATGAGATATATCGGGTTCGTTTCGCTTTGTTGGGCTGTCATCTTTTGGAACTATTTAGAGCATTCAGGGAAAAATAACGTCAATTCATTGGACCTTCAACGGAGAGTGAGATGAAATGTTCCAAGTCGAAAATCCTCGACATAGATCAGTTTTAACTAATACTAGTAACCACTTTTCAGAGCTGTCGACAACCGGGATGTAGTGAACATAATGGACGGTTGCTATGTGTTCATATGAGTAGCTGTTCCTTAGGATATTGCAAGTTCTTAGGAATCTGGTACTATTAGATGTTGCAAGTAGTAGTATATTTAAAGTGGTGATCTATGTGAAACCCAAACGAGTTGGAAGTGTGTAGGATGGTGATGATGATGGTGGTGATTTTAGACTATCTAATGAACATTAGGTGTTCAATGTCGCCTTTAAAACTATCTAATGAACAGACGGTGTTCAATGTTGTCTTTGATCTGTATAATAAACAATATCTGGTAATACAAGTGATATATCTCCCAGACACAATCACAACGTGGGCGGATAAGTGGCACACACGCAACACTGCCCGATAAAACGATTACAAGTCTGGTTCCGTATGACATAAAAACAGAGTTAAAATAGAACTTAATTTGATTATACTTGTGTCCCTGAATTTTGGAGTTAAATCCCACCGACTACAACAATGTAATACGGTGTGTGTGAACAAGACCGATATCACATTAATTCAAATTTGTTCATACATATATGGAAAGTAGCTGTTCATACATATATCTTCATTTTGTTTCACTGTATGTAGAAGCAATATGTTCAAATGAGTTGCTGTTCATGCTGATTTTAGACTATTATGTAATGAACAGTAGCTGTTCATGTTGTCTTAAATATGTGAAATGAACCACAGTTGTTCATACAAGTGATATATCTCCCAGACCCAATCACAACATGGCCGGTTAGGTGACACACACGCAGCACTTCCCGATAAAATTATTACAGGTCTGGTTCTTTATGACATAAAAACAGAGTGAAAGAATAAGTTATATTATTTATACGTGTGTCATTGAATCTTTGAGTTAAATCCCACCGTCCTTGATTTGATCGTGTGTGCAGCAAAAAAACATATGAATTGAAAGTTGACATGTTGAACAACCGGGGTGTAGTGCCACTAATAATGGACAGTGTCTATGTGTTCATATTAGTAGCTGTTCATTAGGAATCTGGTAGTAGTAGATAATGCAAGTACTTAGGAATCTGGTACTATTAGATGCTGCAAGTAGTAGTATATTTAAAGTGGTGATCTATGTGAAACCCAAACGAGTTGGAAGTGTGTAGGATGGTGATGATGATGATGATGATGCATTAATCTCTAGACTATCTAATGAACAGTAGGTGTTCAATGTTGATTTTAGACTATCTAATGAACAACAGTTGTTTAAAGGAGTGATATATCTCCTAGACCCAATCACAACATAGCCGGTTAGATGACACACATGCAGCACTTCCCGATAAAATGATTACATGTCTGATTCTTTATGACATAAAAACAGAGTGAAAGAATAAGTTATATTGTTTATACTTGTGTCATTGAATATTGGAGTTACATCCCACCGTCCTTGATTTGTTCGTGTGTGCAGCAGAAAAACATATGAATTTTTCGGGCATATCAAACACCAAAATATACTGACGATGTTCAACATGTCGACAACGGAAGAAAAGAAAAATATTGAGCACATACCAATATGAACGGTTTGATCATTTTCTTCACTTTTGGAATTCGAATTCCGAATGTATTCGTAGTCGCTTTTAGCTTTTTCGTTCTTATTGTCGTCGCTCTGTTTTACTGTATGATTATCCATATTAGTCGAATTATAACGGACTCTTCACAAAACGGACTTCTTCAAATTTATAATATGAAAACCATTTTATAAAGAACATATGTAAAAATGATTAAGATGAACACTTGTGAACTTGATGTCATTATTAATTGAAGATCAATTATTGATATCATAAGATTTGTAACTCCCAATTAAAATATTTGGGAGTTACATAAGAATGACTAATGACCTAAATACCCTTATCATTAATATGTAAGTTACATTTTAACCAAACTCAAAGATGCAACATGATTGGTTGATGTGGGTTAGCAAAGTTAGTACAAAATATTGGGTTAGTATTTGAACCACCCTATATATATATATATATATATATATATATTATACAGAGAGAGATTCATTTCAGAATTAAAAAAGTCATCCTAACCCTTTATCTGATCAATATTTACGATTTTGATCGTGAAATATCGGATAATTCCAAACATGAATATGGAGAAGATAGAGAGATAATTTTGTAACTTTTACAACATATGTGATAAACGGGTTCAGTAATTAGTTCACATCTATTTAACTGATTCATATATTTACCCACGAATTCATATATGAACCAATTAATTAGTTTATATGTGAATCATACAGATTCATATGTGAATTAGTTAATTAGTTCATATATGAATCGCAATGATTCATATGTGAATTAGTTAATTAGTTTATATATGAATCACACGGGTTCATATGTGAATCAGTTAAGATAGTTCATATGATTATACGAGTTCAGATATAAACATATAGTTCATATGTGAATAACATAGGTTTATATATGAACCCGATTGCTACCTATCTATATAAGTTACGAAACTACGATCAATATTTTTCTCATAGCCGTAATTTTTGACCAGTCAAACTGTAATTACTGAACAGTCAAAGCCGCAATCATTAACCAGACAGATTTGATCTTGACCGCATGAAGGGCTATGATCATTTCTTTAATTCTAAAAAAATTACTACTTCTCAAAATAACATTTGGCTATCTATACTACATATATAAGCATTTAAGACAGAGTCTTAAATACAAGCCTTTAAGCATAAGTTACAACCATTTTATGCATGATTTTCAAAAAACTCTTAAAGACAAGTCACAAAGCACAATGTACAACCAATTTATACATAAAGTTCAAAAAGACTATAAATCACAACTAACAAAGCATAATGTACAACCACCAACACCATCAAGGTTGAAACTTTGAATTTAACTTTTTTAGTTGAAGCTTTTTCATCATCTTTTTATAGCTTTCTTCCACACATTTAGTAAGTTCAAACCCTTCTTTCTTGCTTCTTATTTCTCTTTTCCCTATTTACAGCTCTCACCTGAAAATTGTTTCAGCTTTTCTTTACTGTGAACAACACATCACTCGAGGTCTGTATTTGGTGCCTTTGTTCAAGAAACCAGTAGAAACAAAAATACMTGCATAAAACTGTRTGGCAYCCAGCSTCTTTCTCTCAATCACATTCACATAGTAAGCTTCTTCACTGCGATTACCCCAACCCTCCAAACCCTTCCCGRCARCCAYTCTCCATCTCCGAMAACTCCCTTCTCATGGCGACTCCCCCACCCTCTTYYGTTTTCYGGCTACTCTTCTTTCTTTCATACAGGTCCCCGATCCTTGTTTCTCTTCCCTTCTATGTAACCCTCACCCCACCCCTTCATCTTCCTATGATACACTTGCAACGCCATTCATAAGAGACTCCTCCAAACCTATTGGTGAACATCACAACGCCTGCAAGAGATGAACAGAGAGAGAGAGAGAGAAGCTAAGATATATTTTCTTCACAAGAGGCAAAAAGACAAAACAGTCCAGTTGTTCAATTCATAAACAGTAGACCACAACATGTACAAGTTTGATATTTGTGGCTTTGGAGTGTCTACAATTGTCAATGTCTTTATGGGTCTATACCTATCGCTAACGAGTCTATTGGACATTGGGATCATATCACATGGGAGTAGTTATCAGCTGATGCGTAATTTTGTACCTGTGGGATCCTGAATATCAATAATTTTGTTTCTATACAGGACACTGTCTTGGAGCTTGAATTTCAAGGTGTCAAAAAGAAATTTACCATGCTTCAGGTTTTCTACCTCTTTTCTAATATGATGATCAACATATCTAAGTTTTCGATATCCATTGCACTTGTGATTTCTTACTTTCTTTATTTCTTATTCAGACTTGGCCTGTACGTACACCTAGGCCTGTTGCATCAAAGCTTGCTGCTGATACTCCTCTTCTTACTGGACAGGTACCTATCACTAGCTTATGTAACATCTATGTTTATTTTGGCTTTCTGTCATTGCCAATTTGCTTCTTAATGTGATCCTAATAATCTATTGTATGTATTAGCGTGTTCTTGATGCTCTTTTCCCCTCGGTGCTTGGTGGGACATGTGCCATTCCTGGTGCATTCGGCTGTGGGAAAACTGTTATTAGCCAAGCTCTATCCAGGAACCTTAAAAAAGGTTATAATATTTTATATAGGGTTTTTACATTAGGGAGATTGAATTTATAAAATTGTGTTTTGAAAGCATGGTTTGTGAATATGGGTTGTAGGAGATGATTTTGAAACTTGGGAATGATAACAATGGAATGGATGTATCCTCTTTTTACTTGTAGACATATAACAATGGAGTTGTTTCTTTCTAATGATGATGTTTTGATCTTTAAATTCCATTTGTTAGTATATATAATTCTTAATATTAGATGTCTTTCGTCCTTTATTTAATTTAAACCATCAATAGTATGTTTTTAACCTTTATCTAGGTATAAATTCAAAATCAAATCTTCAAACATAAATAACCCTCTCTTTTCTTCCATATTTCAATACCGAGTCGAGAGAGAGTTTGAAGAACAGCAGGAGGCGGCTTCCGATTTGAAGATCTGGTATCCCTCTTTCTGGTTTTGAAGAACAGCAGAAGAACCGCACCACCGTCCAGAGACGATCGAAACGAATTCGGTTTCTTGATTCGTTATCATCTGTGCATATAACCTGAAATTTGAATTTTTGATTTCTCCATTTCCATTTTAAAACCCTAGCGATTTCATGGTCTTGATTACAGGGTTCTACAGGTTCATATGTTGTGGTACGCTTCATCTCTATCTCCCATCTCTCAATCTGTTCATGGCACAAATAAATTGTTGGTTGTGTTTTTCTATTTTCTTATTTTTGGTTGTGTTTGTGTGCTTATGGTATTGCTCTTGCTGTTCATGTTTATTGGTTCCTTCGTGCAAGGAAACTAAACTTTGCCTTATTCTTGCAAGGAAGTCCTATAAATTAGAGGCTAAGTTTAAGCTGGAGTTTATATCTATTGACATCTTAATTCTTTACAAGGTTTAACTCACTTTGATAAGATTTTGCCAGAGTCAGATGCTATTATCCTTTCTTGGCTTTGATCCTCCACCAGAGAAGGTAATTTTTATCAAGTTAAATAAAGTAACCATTTCATGACAGGTATATGCAAAATATTTACAAGAAATATATTAGCATTAGGTTTTTGTATAGTTCTTGTAGTGACATAATTTCAGGACATAGTAGAAGGAGCAAGAGGATTACACCATTGAAGCGACTCCAGATGATGATAGGGGGAGCATCTTGCAACAGGTTCAATCTAAAATGACCCCAGTTGTAACAATTTGATCCTCTTTAAAAAAAAACACTAGAGCTCAGTGCATTAGCTTCAACCATCTCCAGAACAAAATTAAAGCTCATTGAGCCATATCATTAAGTTGTTTTAGATTTTCAAGATGCTTAACTACAACTTAAAGATAGGCTACAAAAAGACAAGTTCAAGAAAGAAACTGAAACTGAGAATCTGGTGGTCCTAATAAATCATTAATATGGGTGTTGAAGATAAGATGATAAAATTATTGTGTTTCACCAAAAAAAAACCCATAAATAAGATTCCCAAGTGATGAAAAAGAAAGACGTATAACAATTCAAAAGAGATTTGGAATATTGAACCTTTGATTGAGACAGGGTGAAACAATAACCGAAAAGCAGCAAAAGCAATTGAGTGGAAAATAAATTAAGAGGGTTTGAGCACATGGTGGTTTTAGTTTTCCCTTTTGCTTCCACTTAAGTATAAAAAATTCTCTGGATGCATCAACAAACATACACTCTAAAGTAGACCCAGATTCAAGTTGTGATTCAACTTCAAAAGCAAGAAATACCATAAAAGGTGTTCCTTTGGCCATAAAAACTAAAATTAAAAAGGTTAAGAATTTCTCCCTTTCTAAAGAATGTATCTTCGATTTAGTCTTAATTTTGGTGTATAATAAAATGAATGGGAAACCTCTTCCTTTTGCATATCATCAGTTTTCTTTCAGAATTATCAAAAAACATAAGAACAAGACGACATAAAGCATAATAGCTAGCAATTAGTTACTGATTCATGAAAATTACTCACTGAGGCAATTAGTCGAACAATTACCTGATGCAAACACTCAAACTTCAAAGGGGTTCTTCAAAACGAACAGTGTGTCGGTGGACGGTTGGAACACAGACAAAGAAAATCAAACCTCACCGCAAGAAAGATCCTTTTCCCAAGAAACCCCAAAAAAAGATTTGACTTTCTACTTGTTCATCTTCTTCTTCCCCAAAACCTAGAGAAAGTTTCACAAAAAAGTAATGTGTTTGTATGTGAAAATAGAGGGATAGATAGTATATTTTAAGAAGGTGAAAGTGAAACTGCTAAATGTGGGCCTGTTTTAAGCCCCCGTTCATGTGGGCCTAATTTGATTATGGAGTCTACTAAATGCATTCCTCCTAATGGCCCAAGTGTTATGGATTATAGTCCATATCTTGAAAATGGGACGATGCATTTGGTTTTGGTATATCTAACTGGGCCTTCTTCAGTTACTGTTTCCCTCGCCCCCAATTTATTAATTCTTTTTTATCCTTCTCTCCTCCCCCTTTAATTTCTAATTCCTTAAAAACTACTCCATTCATGTGGGCCTGATTTGATTTGGGCTCTATTGAGGATGTGCTTTAGCTATTTTATGATTCGGTCCGAACCGATCCGACTTGCAAAATAAGCACACAAATGCATGATTCAAGGTCAGACTAATGTTTCAGAATTGTGATTCACCCGCGCGATGTTACACCACTAGTATATATATATATATATATATATAGAGAGAGAGAGAGAGAGAGATGAGTTATTATACAACCCTTTACATTTGTACAACCAATACAACTCAATCTCAACCGTCCATTTAATTTGATGAATATGTGATTTCATAAAAGTTTTGATTGTTTTCTAATATTAATTATTGATCATAATTAATAAACTGTAATCATCTTTTATAAATATTCAAATCATAATAAATGAGCTCTCATCATTTTCATAAATATCTCAATTGATTGAGTTGCATTAGTTGTACAAATGAACATGGTTAGGTTTAAAATGTACCCTATGTGTGTGTGTGTATATATATATATATATATATATTCTCATAGTCGCTCGAACATAGTAACATGTTAATAAGTGTGAAAGATCGTGCTTGAATTTTGTCGGTGATTTCATTTCACCGATGAATTAGCGATGAATTTTAATTAATTATGTATTTAATTAAATTATATCGTTAATCCATCAGTAATTTAATCAAATTATTTTATGTTTTCTTAATTCGAAAAATCACCAACGGAATACATATTTTATTATTAATTAAAATAAATTTCATTAGTAATTCTTTTTTAAATGTGTTTTTATTTTTTTTAATTTGAAAAATTATATACAAAATATATTTTATTTTTAATTAAATAAATTAATCAATAATTCTTTTTAAATCCTTTTCCGTTTTCTAATTTAAAAAATCATTGACATAATATATTTTGTTTTTAATTAAAATAAATTTCATCAATAATTTTTTTAAATATAAGTATTTTTTTGGTTCAAAGAATGTTTAAGGACTTAATCGTTTAAAATATAAAAGTCCATTGACCTTTTTCTGGCTTTTTTCATTATTTTACCATATTAACCAGTTGTATAGGTCATAAGAATGTATCTAACAGATTTTAGAAAGTTCAAAAAGTTATTTAACATGTGAAATTGTTGCATATATTTTTGTTTTTAAATAAAAGTGAAATTATTTTATCAATTTCTTATTTTGATGAAATTTGTTTAATAAAATAAAGATGATATTGTCCACAATTAATGTCCTTCAAAATATAAATGATTAATCAACCCTTATAATTAAGAAAAGAAAAAAAATAAGATCGGTTGAATAAGGTTTTCATGGTTTGTACAAATGGTTTTATTTGAATTTTATCCTTCCCCTACATATGTATATACATGCATATATATATATATACATGCATATATATATATATGTATATATATATATAGGGGCCTAATCAAATGAGAAATGATTAGTTTTTGGTAATTGTGAGGTCCAATCTCAACCACAAATCAACAGATAAATTAGAAAATCAATAATTATGATAATTTGAGTTAAAATTATAATTAGAAGACATATTAGGTACTTTTAAAAAACTTCTCTCTCCTCTCTCATCTCTCCGACCTCTCTCCGGCCTCTGGTGATATCGGTATCACAGTATATCACAATGGGTATCACATTGTGTATTACAATAGATATCATATTGTGTATCTTTGTTTTTAAAGTTTGAGTTGGTATCGTAGTTGGTATCACAATGGTATCACAATATATCACAATGGGTATCACATTGTGTATCTTTGTTTATAAGGTTTGAGTTGGTATCATAGTTGGTATCACAATGGTATCACAATATATCACAATGGGTATCACATTGTGTATCTTTGTGATTACTTGGTACCTGCCGGATTAATGTTCACCGAAGGCCGGAGATTGGAGGTCGGAGAGATGAGAGAGGAGAGAGGAGTTTTTAAAAATACCTAAAAAGCCCTCTAATTATAATTTTAACTCAAACTACCATAATTATTAATTTTCTAATTTATCCGTTGATTTGTGGTTGAGATTGGATCTCACAGTTACCACAAACTAATCAGTTCTCATATATATATATATATATATATATAGACTTGGGATCATGTGAGACCAAAGGTTTTTCGTGAGACCCGTACGATCAATTCTCAACCCTTGGATTATATCTACAATCTGAAAATTTATAATCACAAAATTGCCACAAGACTTCTCAATAATTACAAAATTGTCACCGTGTAACTTTAGACCATTAGATCATTAGCTTATAAAGTTAATCAATGAACATAAATTGGTCTTATGAGTCTCACGAAAAACCTTTGGTCTCATGTGAACCCAACCCTATATATATATATATATATATATATAGCGGAAATCAAATGAGAACCACATAAATGTTAAAATAAGTTTTTTACATGATTTTTTTTCCATCAAATGTTAGAATTTAAGATGTTGAATAACATATATTTGTTTTATAATGTGATAGTTTCACAATGATTTGTTCCATTACGTGAATTAT